ATACTTCTGTTGGTCTTAAAGGTACCACAGGACCCTCTGTTGCTTTTTACAGATTCAGACTAACATGGCTACCCCTCTGATACTTGACACCAATACCAGTGACGCTAACAGAGAGGTAGGTGACACTGGCAGTAGAATGTACCTAGTCGGATGAGAATCTTGGCGAAGCCAAGCAGAAACAATTAAGATGTGTGTACACCAATCCAAGGAGCTTGGGTAACAAAATGGAGGAACTAGAACTACTGGTTCAGGAAGTGAAACCAGATATTATAGGACTAACAGAAACATGGTGGACTAGTACAGGTATTGAAAGGCTTGTGCTGTTCGGGAAAGACAAATAAAGGTAAAGGTGGTGGAGTAGCATTATATGTTAATAAGGTAATCTGAAAAGAAATTAGAAGTGAGGGAATTGATAAAACAGAGTTTGTTTGGGTCAAAATCACTTTGGGAAAGAAAGCTACCAAGCGCTCCTCTGGGATAGTGCTTGGAGTATGCTACAGACCACAAGATCCAATTTGGATATGGTTAGAGACTGGATATTTTTAATGAAATAAACACTGGCAATTCTCTGATTACGGGAGACTTGAATTTCCCAGATATAGATTGGAGGACAAGAGTTACTAATAATGGTAGGGCCCAGATTTTCCTGGATGTGATAGCTGACAGATTTCTTCACTAAATAGTCACCAAACCAACAAGAGGAGATGCCCATTTTCAATTTAGTATTGGTAAGTAGTGAGGACCTCATAGAAGAGCTGGTTGTAGAGGACAAGCTTGGTTCCAGGGATAGTGAGCCAATTCAGTTTAAGCTAAATGAAAGGATAAACAAAAATAGGTCTGCAACTAAGGTCCTTGATTTAAAAAATGCAAGCTTAGAAAAGTAAGCAAATTAATTAGCGAAGTGGACTGGACTGAAAAACTCAAGGAGCTGAATGTGGAGGAGGCTTGGAGTTACTTTAAGTCAAAGTTGCAGAAACGATCTGAAGCCTGCATCTCAAGCAAGGAGGAAAAATTCATAGGGAAGGGTTGCAGACCAAACTGGATAAGCAAGCATCTCAACAGGTGATTAAGAGAAAGCAGAATATCTACAAGAATGGAATACGGGATGGATCAGCAAGGAAAGCTACTTCTTGGAGGTCAAAAAGTGTAGGGAAAAAGTAAACTGCCAAATGCCAAGCAGAGTTGGACCTTGCAAAGGAAAGTAAAATCAATAGTAAAAGGTTCTATAGCAATATAAACAAAATGAAAACAAGGCAAGAAGTGGAACCGCTAAGAACTGAGGATGGGGTGGAGGTTAAAGATAATCTAGGCCTGGCCCAACACCTAAACAACTACTTTGCCTCAGTTTTTAATAAGGGTAATGAGGAGCTTAGAGGTAGTGGCAGGATAGTTAAGTGAAATGAGGATATGGAAACCAAAATTACCTCATCAAAGGTGGAAGTCAAACTCAAACAGCTTAATGGGACCCAATTGGGGGGAGGGAGGGGGCAAATAATCTCCATCCAAGAATATTAAAGGAACTGGCACATGAAATTGCAAGACCAATACAGATTCATTAAAAATCCTGGCTAAACTAAGAGGTCGTATGACTATGACTATGACTGCAGAATTGCTAATATAGTAACTATTTTTAAGAAAGGGGCAAAAAAGTTACCCAGGAAACTACAGGCCTGTTA